TTTCCCCCCCATCCCCCGGGGGGGGGGGGGGAGTGAGTGAGCGGCTGCATGGTGCTTAGTTGCTGGCTGGGGTTAAACCACAACATAGACCAAGACAGGGGACTCATCTGCCCACGTTTTAAATCTTTTTTTCAATCATTTCAACACCTGGGCAAAGAATTCTCTGCAAATGGGCTTGAGTCCACCCTGCTACAGTCTTGACCTGAGAATTAGCTTCCAAACAATTACTTCTGTATGAAAAATACCATCATCTCTGTTGATTCATCTGCAAGTCATCTGTTGAGTTAGCTGGTGAAGATATCTTTTGGACCACAAGGATTAGTAGTTTCAAAAGATATCTTTTTACCAATAAAAAGAAAAAGATGATTACCAATGTAATTTGTCACACAGACATAAAATACCTAACAGTGCATGTGTATTTGTACCTAACGTACAGCACTGCTATTTGAAAAGGCATTTTATTTAGGGAACAAAATAAATTGCGGGACATCTTATTTAACTTGCTACTTTATCAGAGTCATGTGAGATTACACCTAAACCACTTCTCTAGTGGTTTTTTTTTTTTTTCCACTTTGTAGCTGTCTGCTTTGCTTTTGCCATGTAGCAGCAAGTTTCCTGCTTTTACCTGTGCAAGTCAGAGAGGAGAGAGCAAGAGCTAAAGAGGGCAGGGCACTGCACCTGTGAACCACTAAGACCAGGCAGGATATCTGAGGGAGAAAGGAGATTTTCAGGAGTTCAAATGGCATTTGGGTACCTGAGCAGGGGTGGGCACGCAGGTAAATGCCTGCCTGCCAGCTGTGCTTTTGAATGTCTCCCCTCTGAAGTCTCAAATGACTTTGGATTCATTCTTTCCAGTGTTTATTTTCAGACTGGCCAGGCCCATTTGCAGTCATCTGTGTGGTAATGTCAGAGAACTATTTCTTTTTCTTTTTGTTGATTTTGCTCTCAAAGTCTCAGCTAAAGGCAAACCAGACTTGCCTCTACTGAATGTCTTTTTGCAGCCTTTTGTATGAAGCCATGAGAGGTGCAAGTGGAGACACAGGTTTAGGAAGACCTAGCTTGTGTGTTTTGTCCTGTGACCCAGGGACAGGGCCCCAGTGCTTTTTAGCTTCTTTTATTTCAGTAAATGGAGGTTTAAATTCTTGAAGATACAGATTCCTCACATTAAATTAAATTTGCTGGTTTTAATTTGTGTGTTTTCAAAGCAACTATGATGTGTCTTCCATGTTTAGATCGCTGATGATATGAGAGTACTTTTTTTTTTTTAAGTGCAAACCATCTTCAGCACTTCATTTTATCTGTCAGGGATTAATATTTGTTTTTCTACTCAGTGTGGGGTGTTTCATCTGTTCAGTTGACTGAACCTGCTCCAAGTTTGACTTTTTTCTGTTTCAGTGCTTTTGTATGTGAGGAAGGAGACAGATGAGGTGTTTGATGCTTTGATGCTGAAATCACCCACAGTAAAGGGGCTAATGGAAGCGGTAAGTATCTGATGTCTTCACATGGTTTCTCTTTCTTGGCAAGAAAATCTTGAGGCTTTCAATGTATTATTGAGATAAAACATAACATAAAGATGAAGTTATTCTCAAATACATTCAAAGCATTTCATAAAGGCTTTCTGGAGCACACCTCTGAAATGCTAGCATGTTCCGAATTCAGTACCGTCAGCAGCTTGCTGGGATTAAATAGTGTCGCAGAGCTGATTTATTGGAGACCTGAACCTTGAGGAATGGTGGTAATTGACCAGTGTCAGGGAAGCAGAGTGGTGCAGGCTCCATCTTCTGAAATACTTCTTTCTGAACCGATGATTCAGAGCCTGTTGAATCTTCTCCTCTAACGCCCATCAGTGAGTTCACAGCTATCTTTTAAAGAAGAGGCCCAAGGATGCACTGTTTCTCTGTGAATTTCATATGGCTTTTGTGCAATTGCTGTTCCAGCATATAAGAGGCAGTTGCCGAGCCAATGCAGACTAGTCATTTGTACCTCCTGTCTCAGATTCCTTCTCTAGCCCTTACTGCCAGAGTGAGCTACCTACCAGCCTGCCTCTTTGCTGCTTCTTTAACTTGAGTTTTTGCTTGCTACCCATTAGCTGTGATCATATGAGTGGCTATTTCTGCATTTAATCCTGTTTATAGAGCTGATGGCTAGTAGATGTGTGAAATTTGGTGAGGGAAGAGTTAAGAAGCAACCACATGTCTCACTGCTTCGGTGGGGGGACTAATGTGAGATTGACATGTGGGATGCTGAGTTGATTTCCAGCCTTGGTTACATATAAAAGAGAAGATGGGAATGGATGAAAGTGTCCCTAGAGAGCTCAGTTGAGTGCTAGAAGTGTCTATATTCATATTCTCATAAAACTGTCACAGTGTCTTGTTGCATGTACCAGACACTTCAAATGCAGTAAAGATTGAGTTATTTGGTCAATATTTGGCCAGCAGCAGAAGGCAAAAGATTTGTGGGTTAGTGAAGTTGTTTAAAGTACCTATTCAGATCAAGGTATCTCTGAGGAGAGTCAGCTGCATTCTAAGGATGTCCTAACTGTGCTTTTGCTGATACTGTTTGTTAGCTGTGACTGCAGCTCAGTTGTTAGGCAGAACACACATGTATAATAAAAGCCAGGCTTCACTTAAAGAGCCTGCAGTCTGATTCATGATAAGCTGTAACACGATCTCATCTTGTCTTTGTATGGAAGTTAAAAGTGTGTTATAGTCTGTGCCTCTCCGTGCCTGTTTTCCAGCCACTGTGTAACATAAAAACAAAGCTGGTGCAGAAGCAAGAAGGGTTTCTGCATACCTTTGTCAGCACAGCTGCTGACTCAGTGGCATGTTTTCGGCACCAGAGAAATCTGATCTGTTGTAAAATGTCCCAGTTCACTGGAAGGAACACATTCAAAAAAATTTAATTCTCTTTGGTAGGATATTGGGGATAAATCAATGCCAAAAAGCTGTCAAACTGCATTTTCTTAAATTCTCTCTACAGTTATTTTAGCAAATCATGTGATTTTGTAATTGTACTCATCCTAAATGCTCAATTCTAAACTCAGTACTAAGAACTTAGAAACAGGCTCTGAATATTATAGAGCCCCAGATCTGAAAGACAGTGCCAATGATCTTGAATCATACCCTCCTTCTCTGTTTATGGATTTTACTTTTTTTTTTTGTTAATCACTATTCCTGGTCTGTGGCTTTCTCCAAATTTTCCATGATTAATAATACTGTTTTCTCAGATACTATGTTTATTTTATTCTCTCGTATACACCCATTCCAAATGGACAATTAGATTCCTTCTCAGATTTCTTTCTTCTGGCAAATATCTAGAGGTCTCAGGTTTCAGAGGTACAGTAGATGTCAGAAAGTGATGCAAATATTTGGTTTTTAAAGTGTTTGTTTAAGATGACTACAGTAGTCAGTCTTGATCAACAGAAAATAGTGAGACATTTGCCCATCACAAAACATCGCACATGTGGTGACTGACCAGCTCTAAATCCTGCTCTCAGCCTGATCCAAAGTCAGGTTAACCCTGTGGATCTCAGTAGGTACTCCAGTCTTACATTGTGCAGAATCACATATTTAATCAAATTACAGAGGGCAATCTAAATTGGGAAATTGAAGCATCTCCCTAAATTCTAAAATTAAAAGCTAATAGCTGAGCTCAGTAGAGCTTGCTTAGACCAAAGTTTATTCAATACCTGTCTATGTATGTGTCCTTCCAGCCAACGTAGGGTAACAGACTGGACCATTCCGTAGAAATAAGTCGGCAAAGATTTTTTTTCCCATGTGCTTTGACAAGCCCAGATGTTGCCCTTTCTCTCTTCCTGACTCCAGCGGAGAAAGCATTTCTGGTGGCTTGTGCAATCAGATATGTGCTACAGACAAACTTGCCATGCCAGGGAACTGCAGCCCAAAGGGAACGCAGACTGTTATTTCAGTGCCACTCTGAAGGCTGTCCCACTGGAAAGAATTCGCTGCTCAGAAGACTGAAAAATGGACAATGGAGATGGTGAAGGAAAATATTGCTCCAAATAAAGATATATTTTAAAAATTTATTGTAGCCTGCTTGGGGTCAGGTGAGAAATCTTGTTGTTTTATAAAGAAGTTGGCAGTAGTGGTGTTCCCCCTGAGTTGGCAACAAACGTGTTTCAGAAGAGGGTGTGAAGTGAGATGCCCTAACAGATGCTAACTCTCTGCTTTCTCAGATTTTGCAGCAGGACTTAGCACATTTGCACTGGAGACCTGTTTTCTGCATCTGTGAGGGGGAGGCTTTCCCATACCCCCACTTCGAGCCTTGCTTCCACAGCTCGCTGTTTGGCATAATTGGTTGAATCTTTAGGGGTTCCTGAGAAATGTGCTTATTCAGTCAGCTGGAAGTCTTTCGCAAAGCTCACTAATCCCTGCATGTTATATAAATCCTACACCTGTCATAGGCAGTGTGACAGGCAAGGCTTTCTCAGCTCTATCTCTCATAGCTTCTGTAGGAAGTGGTGTCCCAGAGTCCCAAACCACTTTCAGCAATGTTTGGAATGCATGAGTGTTAGGTATCCCAAATATCCTAGGGAAGTTTATGCTGGAATGTGCAGAATGCTGTATATTAGCTGCTATTAAGCCTCCTTGGCACAGAAATGTTTCTCCCTGCATGTTTATTTGCATGGAGTCAGTGAAAAGTGTCTTTGTGTACTGCTCTTTACAATATCACTAGGCTTCAGAGTTAACATCCCAGAGAGGAAGATACATAGTTTCCTTATGTTCACACAGTTTTGACATTTTCTGCAGTTTCAGATTGCATTTTTTCTCTGATGCCTGTTACAAAGGATTTTTTCAAAAATCTGATGAAATGGAGCCATTTTCATTATTGCTTTACATGAAAGCTTAAATTTAGGGGTACAACAAAACCACAGATAGAAAAGTTCAGCACCAGATTGCTTATCTGACGTCATTCTGTTCATGGTAAGCAAAGCTAGAGGGTAAGAAAGAATAAAAGGAGAACATGAAAGTTTCTCTGAGAAATTCTCTGAGGCAGTCAAGATTTGCCCTCACAGTGTGGCACCTGGGTACCCCGGAGGTGTCACCAGCCTCAGGTTAAGCAGCTGTCCTCCAGCACAGGATGAGGCATTGAAGGAAGGGAGACTTGGAAAGATGGTGGTAGTCAGAGGTGGAGCGTGAGTGAGGAGCAAGGTGTGGGTACCCGTACAAATGCTTCTGGCCAGAGGTAGGTGATTCCTTCTACTGGGGATCCTGCCCATGGATCCTCCCTTGGATTTATGTGCGTAGGCTAGGTCAGGCATTCACAAAGGCTAGGTGGGGCAGCCTGTCCCGTCTGTGATGGAGGGTAGCTGTAATAGGTTAGGATATAGCACACAAGGATATGGCAAAGCCTGGGTTCAAATCACCGTTATTCTGCCCTGTTTGGAGCAAAGACTTGAACTTGCTCCAGATAAGCTGAGTATGTTATGGAACTTCTTTGTAGGATGGGTTTCCACCCTGTGTATGTGGTTAGGTAGCTTTTCCGTAGGCTACACGGAGCCTTTTGCATAGGCTACATAGAGCTCAGAGTGAAAAAGATTGGTTTTATAGTCTGATAGTGAGGATGCTTGTGTGAGATGTAAGACAAGTGGGGTGAAGCCCCTCTTCTCATAATTGTACAAAGCAGACCGTTCCCCACAGCAGGGAGAGTGTGACTATACAGCATGTGAGCTTGTGCAGCCTTGATGCTGATTAGGTCTCTCCCAAGGCAGGTGAGAACATGGATACTATCGATATCTCCAGCACCATATCCAAAAGGGCAGTGAAACATGCTGGTGCAAGTAAAACTGAAATAGCAAATAGAACCCACAATTTAATTTGTATTTTATTCTCTGCTAGGTGCAAAACTTAAGGAGTGGATGGGTCCAGTGTACCTTATCAGTTACTCCTTATTTACACCCTCCCCTTTCAGTTAGCCACAGATGTATGCTGTAGTCAGAGGAAATGGTTTGCAGTGTAAAAGAAGCTTTATAGTTCTTCAAAATCTTGGAGTTATGCTATACTTTTTAAGTACAAAATTGTATCTTAGGTAAGATGACAATTATACAAGTGTAGGTGATGTAGGCAAGTATAGGCTAATTCTCTGTCTTAGAGAATCCTGGCTCTTTGGACAGGAGCAGTGCTTGGGGTTCAACCTGTGGCTGTCTGAATCTGTCCTTGGTGCTGAGTTTATCCACTGTTTTCTTTCTGTTTTCTATTTCGTGATAATTGCTTTAATTTGCTTCTCTAAAATACCACTTTTTCAGAATTACGTTGAGAATGCAAACACAAAGAAAGGATTTTACAGTGACTGATGTTTGGCAGTCTTTAAACAGATTTTTAATTGTGCATTTCAGTTCTCTAATGCAGAAGATAAATAGTCGGCTATTTAGCTGCAACTTCATTTCACCTGGGAAGAGCAGGAAACTTACTTTGGTTGGCAGTAAAGTACCACGGAACATTAATCACTGACAAAAAGTCATTTTTCCATAATTATTTTGCCTTTTGGGACAATCTTCTAAAGTATGAGCTGTGAGACCTGTTCTCTCAAAGAAGAGTCATAATTTGGAAAAGAAACTTGGCTTAGACGGAGGGCTCAGGGACACCATCTCTACAAGCACACCACAGGCTCACTGCAGAATGGACGTCTAAAAAAGTTACTAATATACTGCTGCAAAGCAATGCCAAAGCATCCCAGTGAAGTGCTTGTTAGTGTTGGTAATTCGTCAGCTAAGTAGTTCTTCCTTCAAAAGTTTTCCTATATTTTCTGCTTTTATCATTTGAGTAGCTGGCAAGAGGTTTATTTTAGAAGTCCTTTACCTTGTTAACACGCTTCTCTGCAGCATTTCATTATCTGTACACTCAGACGATGTTTTGTGAGCCAAATGGTGTTCTCATTTTGCCACCCTAGTAACTAGACTGAGTCACCTCCCCAACAATACAGAAGCTTCCTAATCCTGTGTGTAGCATGTTTCTAGCTCACCCACAATAAAAGATACCTTGAAGATACTTTTCAGACAAAAGAAGTACCATGGAGGGTCCTGTTAGCTTAATAAACCTTGAAGTGCCATTGAGAAATAGAAATGTGCACTTTTTTTTGCTGATCCATCAATCCATTAGCTCCCGTTGTGTTTCTACTCATCTGCCTTCTGCCTGGTGGAAGAAGCCTTTGCTTCCATGAGCCCAGAAAATCAGAATAAGAAACAGCAGAAAGGCGGCTGATCAGATTGAAATTCCCTGGTAAAATCTGAAGCTGGGAAGGTGTTGACTCCTTGAGCAGAGCAATAGGAGATGCTGAGGCAGTTTTGATGACTCACACCCTATGAAAACTCCAAGTCTCTGGATGGAAAAGATTGTGTTTTTTTGATCAAGATGTTTAGGATTATTCCTCCCCAAGTCATCCTTAAATGAAGCCATGGTATGGTTGCGAGTGACTTTTCTGTATAGCTATCCTGTCAAAGTTTGCAGAGATAGCGTTTTAATGCCTTTTGTAAAGTGAGAGGTGACAATTTTGTATTTCTCATTAGTCTTTAATGATATTTCTTTTCTTTTTATGATTTCAGATCTCTGAGAAATATGGCCTGCCAGCTGAAAAGATTGCAAAACTTTATAAGAAGAGCAAAAAGGGGTAAGTAAACTATCTAGGGGCTATTGCAGGATCCTTTAGAAGTACTCAGAGATCCCAAATATGCTTGGGGCCTCATGCTGCTGGGCAGTATAAACACTTCTAGGAGACTATGCTTGAAATCTTTCATATGCTTGAAATCTTAATGTCTATGGAGACAGCAAGGGGTGGCAGGGGAGGAAACGTGAATCTCCAGTCTGTGTCTGACCAGTATTCATAGGCTTACTGTGAAGAAACAGTTGGTGTGTGGAAAATGTATTTGGATAAAGTCTGTTTTGTAGACTGTATGCTTAATAACATCATAGAGTGCTAGCGTGGGAGAGGTGCAGCCTTTGCTGTGAATGCAGTGTGGAGTTTCCCTGCAGTGTTAGGAAGAAGTATGCCACTGTCCGAATCTGAAAGGCAGGCAGGCAATGTTTGCTGCAGGGGTTTCAGCTGAGTAAATTTAGACATGAGCATCACAGCTGCGATTTTAGAATAGCTAGGCTACTACTCCTTGCCGTAAATCTAAATCTCTCCACTTCAACTTTTTTTTACTTCTAAATAATCACAATATTGTAGTGATATAATTTTAAGTCAATCATTTATTTTCAGCTGTAACTCTAGCTTAGGGCATTGTTTTGTCTGGGGATTTCTTTAGCTTTTGAGAAGACAGGTGAAACTTCTCATGTTTTGCTTCTTTCTAACAAGTGATATGTTTGTTGGAAGAAACACTTTGCGGTAAAGAGCGAGGAAAACACTCATATACACTTCTAATAGTTGTTGTCAATATTCTCACATCCAGGCTCAGTTCTAGGCCTGTGAGCTGTGTGCAAAGCACAAATTACACTGCTTCCCCATATTAGCGACTTACGCAGCTCACACAGCGTGGCTGAGGAGTAGCATGGAGGTGTACCTGGGGGAGCCAACACCAGGCATGGGAAACACAGCTGGGTCTGCCAGGGGTCTGGAGTGCAGTTCATCTTGGAGGCAGCTTAAGTGGGTTGACATCCCAGCACTGGCATGTCACTTACCTTAACTATTTTGGCAAGGAGCAGCCTCTAATCCAAAGATTATAAGGGATTGTTGGGCAGATCTTGATGATGATTCCCACTATCGTCCCTGTACTGGCATGTGCTGGAGTCTGTTTTTGCATTGTAGTGAAGTGAGCACATGCGGTGGAGTGCATGGCTTTTGCTTTACAGTGTCCTGGTACATAAAAATATTGGTTTTTGCCTTTGTCACCAGTATATTGGTAAACATGGATGACAACATTATTGAGCACTACTCCAATGAGGACACGTTCATCCTGCACATGGAGAGCATGGTCGAAGGATTCAAGATCACACTGACAGAGATCTAGCCTCAGGCAGACCTTTTTCGTAAGGAACCACAGCATTTCATCCTTCTTGGAAAGCAGAAGATTCCCTGGGAACTTGACAGACATTGATCAGAGAAACTGTTACAAGACTGCTTTGAAAATACTGTCCATTCTGCACGTGTGCACCCACTGCATATAGACTTGGGTTTGTCAAGCACAAGGCCACTCATGTTAACCTGGTCCCTTATTTATTGTTCCCCACTCTCTAGTGTATAAGCAGTTACCAGCCCCCAGATTTGTAACCAGATGACCCACTGTAAATGTGAAATGCAGCATTTTAATCCATACTTTAGTGTGGATAAGCTCATTCTAAAATGTGTTAAGGAACCATGCTGGTCTAGCTTCAGAAATCTGGTGTAAATCACTTTACTAGTAGTTCTCTCCATCATCGCTAAAAAAGTGGTGCAGCGCTAAAGATGGGGAAAGTGGCTGACAGAGTTCACTTGCTCAGACTGATCCATATCTCTCTATAGTGTATAGTCTTGCCAAATACCTCTGGTAGTTCTCAGCACGTAGCAATGAGGACTTGTAAGTAAGGCATTCAGCTACAAATGTCACTTGTAAGTAAATGGTAAAGAAACCATTTTAACCTTGTATATAATGTTTATAATATGCAATAATATATTTTAACTACTGTATGTGGGCATGTTTACTGCCGCTATGTTTTTGTATGTATTGGGTTTAGGGTTTAACAGAATCTTTCCTAGAGGATTAGATTGCTGCAATCTGTTAAGGAGTGTGTACTGAGAAGCTGATAACTGCATCTGCACTCATATGCTGCACCCTTGCCCACACGTTTTATACTGAAATGTTGGAGCAAACCATGCTACAGGGTCTGGAGTGCTCTAGCACAATGGGACCCACCTTAGGTGCCCAAGTCCCAGCTGTAGATACGTGAGTGTCCCATCCAGCTGTCACCAGATCCAAGAGGCATCATGTGTCTGCTGCCTGGTGTGCCTAGAGGTATGGAAGGGACTTCTGCCTGTTCCGTTGATGAAGTGGAGGCTCTCAAAGTGGGCTTTTCCCAAGCCTGTGGAGGGAAAGGTGCTTTCCGCAGCAGCCAGCTCATTAAAGCATTCCTCTAGACTGTAAGAAACAGGACTTCAAGCTCTTCTTCTTAAGGGTACTTGCTCTTGTATCTCCAATGAATGATTCTGTTTTGATTCCTAGGACAGTTGGGTGAGGTATAAACCCGGGCTTGATGTAAATATTTTATTGAAACTGGAACAATTTTACTAGTGGCGATTAAGTATCCCACAACTGAGGTGTGGATATAGGTCTCTCTCACAAGGGCTGGATCTGAACCCAAGTTGAACTACAAGGTTATCCCATCAAATTCCACCCCTATCTCATGAATTCTGTGAAGAGAGAAAGTTGCAAGCTAAAATCATACCAGGAAAGGGCTTCAAGGCCTGAATGTCCCTAGCACATCCAAACCCAGCACCTCTTTCTGTCCTTTCCAGCTCCTCTGACTATTGTAGAAAGCTCCTCACTCAGTATACAATCCCGTGAGTTTCAGCTGCAAGCATTTTATTCTCTATGCACTGTATGTGGATCCTGTGCAACAGACAGAAATGTGGGTCCTTTCCTACATGCAGCCTTTAGAATGTCTTTTTTTTTTTTCTCCCTGTCAGAAATCTTTTTTTTCATTTAATCACAGAGTGTTTTTTATTAAGGTGGTTAATGGTGTAAAGAAACACTGCCTAGTTTAACAGGCTCATTCTGTAGTGTTTTGAGCTCTGTGGACCTATTTACATTCAAGTAAAGTAGCTGGGATAGCTGACCAGTCTGATTCAGTCATGTTTTTGCATGAATTGTCCTGCAAGCTCTTGCACACTTTCTTAACTTCATTAGCAATAGCATCCCATTAAAATCTGTACTTCAAATGGAAATGTTAGGTACCTGTCAAAGTTTTTGTGGGACCAGAACCTATAAAAGGTTCAGGCTGTTAGTGTCAGGGCTAACGTACTCAGAATCCACATGTCTGCAAAGCGAAGTGTCTGTTCTGCCTTCTTCCCTCCCTCCCTCTTCCTTTGTCATGTGCTCTTTCTCCTTCTGATGCAGAGTTTTGTAGTAATTCCATTATCTTTTAATAAATATACTCCAGCAAAGATGCTCTTGCTACCTTGCTCAGGAGCAGACAGCCTGGGAATACAGGGGATTTATGGTGGTTCAGTTTGTTTCTACTTGGCTCAGGCTCAGATAAAAAGTCTATGCTGACTTAGCCCAGATACTTTTTTCCTAAAGAAAAAAAGAGGACAGTTTTGGCAGGTGGCATTAGGAACTGGGCCCAGCACATAGGACTAGTGAACAGTGGTGTTAGTTCTTGAATTTCTCTGTTGTTTGATGGTGTTTAGGATCCTAAGGATATTAGCTGAGATCTCTCAGCTGGTCATGATGTCTGGGCAGAAGCTACAGGTGAAGCATATGAATAAACGTACACAAGAGTTGAGCCCTGGTTCTGCCCCCAACAAACTTGCCATCCAAGCTCTCTTATAGGGAATGCCTGTAGTGCCTGAGGCTGGGCTGGGTTGGGATGTGCTGCATTAAGAGAGGACAGTGAGAATTTGGGGTTCACTCAGAGAAGGACAGGGCTGTCCTGACAGCACCAGCACTCAAGTTAATGGCACATTCTTGTCTTACGTATGGGTGGAGATGAGCTGGGATCTGTTGGATGCTGCAGCATCCTGTGCCAAAGAGCAGTGTAGGATCAGTGAGAAGTGCAGTGCTCCAGGGAATACTGGGGCTTAAGGAGCTATCTTTCCATTGCCATTTTAGGAGCTTTTGGTCAGGCACTGTCCAGAGAAGGAAAGTTGCTTCCAAGATTAACTGAAAACTTAATACGTCTTAAAGTGTGCGAATTCCTGATACAAGAGAGCTCATACACCTGCATTTAGTTCCTTCTTACAGTCTCAATTAAGGTAGCAGGGTTGAGGAAGATGAGTAGGATTTACCCTGATGGAAATATTATTTTAAAACAACAACTAGAGCTAGTTAAGGATGATCTCCCTTAACTTTATCTGCCAGGGTCTGAGGGCTTTGTTTCTCTGCTCCAGATGCAGATGCATCACAAGCACCTAAGCCATTACAAAGACCACATCACCCTGCACCCCTTCAGCTGTAGTTACAGCATCAGCTGTTGGAGGAGTGCTGAACCTTGGATCCTGGTTCTGGCAAGCTACAAGCTCTCAGGGTTCACCTTGTTGGTCTAAAACAGGCTATCAAAGTGATGGAGAAGGGCCAGTACGAGTAATACAAACTTCTGAAGCAGTGGCCTGCCTCATGCCCTGCTTGATTCAAAGGTCTTGAGGCATACAAAGTGCTCGCATGTATATTGTTTAAAATATACGTGTTGCTTTTGTTTAATGAAAAATATTGATTAATGCTGGATCTTCCAAATATTATGAGTTAAATGGAAGTAATATTTTCCTATTGTTCAGCAGGGCACAGGAGTATCTGCCTTGCCTCCTTTTGTCTCTTTGTGGCACTGCTGTGGTTGTTTATTTAAATGAACAAAACTCTCATTTCCTTTCCTTCTTCAAGATAGCAGTCTTGAATCTTAACTAGTGCAGCCTGAAGGGTGGCTTGCTGCTCAACTCCTTTTCCCTATGAAGAATTAGAGCAGTGCATTGTCTGTAGATGTTGTGTTTTGAAAGACTCTGGTAGAGATGTTCAAAAGAATAGTCTTCTAAGCTCTGATTTTGGTTCCCGCTACAGATTTGGCACTATGTCCGTCCATTAGATGTTTTATTATGAAAACCCCAAATCTCAAATTTTAGTTACTTTCTACAGTCAGGTGCTGCTATCCCCCCAAAAAAGTGCATCCTTTCAGTGAAGCTTTGTTGATGTACAGTGATACCCCCATCGAGACATTTTGGAGGATTTTTACCACTGAATTTAAACTACAAAGAAAAGAACTTTTTTTTTTTTTTCCTATGCATCCTCTCTCATGAAGTTTTTGGTCAATGGAATTCAGAGATCAAGTGTCTTTCTTGTATATTTTCCTCTTTCAGTCTATGGATTGTTTAAATGTTGTAAATTAATTCAAACAATTAGTAAAAGCTGAACTCTCCAGCCATCAGAGATGCTGTATATTGATCAATATGGAACTGGAAAGGAGTATCTTATGACTTTTAAAACGTAAAGCTTATGAAATGTTTATATGCTCTTCCATTTTCTATGAATTGAGACAAGATACAAACAAGAATGTTTGTGCCAAAGTTTCTGACAAGCCCTCTTTCTGGCAAACAAGGAACTTTATGTATAAATAGTGTGCTTTTATATTAAGAAAATAGCTCATGTAACTTAATAGCATTGCAACTGGGAGAGGGGTTTGATAAACTGTAAATACAGTTATTTTATTTTTTGTACATTTTTAAGAAGGAAAAAAAATAAATATTCCTATGTATGAGATAATATTTATGTTGCTGTGGTGTGTGTTACTACATACTGGGGATTGAATTCCTACTTTTGAGCCCAGAAGACTTTTCAAAAAGAAGAAAATAGAAATTCATTCTACCGAGAAAACAAGAACAGAGACTGAAAAAATAATCACCAAAACATGGGTTCAATGACTGGCCTGGTAGACGGGGAGAGGGACGTGGATATTGTCTACCTGGACTTCAGTAAGGCCTTTGACACTGTCTCCCGTAAGATCCCCACAGAGAAGCTGTTGATGTATGGCCTGGATGAGCAGACAGTGAGGTGGACTGAGGACTGAATGGCTGGGCCCAGAGGGTGGTGGTCAGTGGCACGACGTCTAGTTGGAGGCCAGGGACTAGCGGTGTACCCCAGAGGTCAATACCAGGTTCAGTCCTGTTCAGTATCTTCATTAATGACCTGGACGATGGAATGGAATAGAACAGAATGGAATAGAATGGTTTGGGTTGGAAGGGACCTTAAAGATCACCGAGTTCCAACGCCCCTGCCATGGGCAGGGACACCTTCCACCAGACCAGGTTGCTCAGAGCCCCATCCAACCT